GGTACACCAGCCAGATCCAAATTCCCACTTGGTTATAAAGTGCATTGCGTAGCTGATAACTACCACACCAGGGTCACCAGCACAGATGGTCACATAGATCACATGCATGTGTGTCACTCACTCACACATAAGTCACTTTTTGTGAGATGGGCGGTATCTAAATTTGAAAAATAAATAAATAAATAAATAAATAAATCCTTTACCTCCCTCCCTACACACACATTAAAGGTCACATGTGTGATCTTTGGTACCCTTTCATCATTATAAAGGAGGCTTCCCAAACTAGCTGTTAAGAGCATCCAAACTGTTGTAGCCTGCTTTGAGTGAATTTGTTCGTTCTTTCTCTCTCTCTCCTTCCCTCCTTTCTCTCTCGCACACACACACACTTACAGACTTCAGGAGAATTAGCCTGGATTTGTACCACCAGAACCAAAAGAAAATCATGGAAAGAATGCTGGAACTCGCTTTCCCTTGGCTTGTTGTACAAGATACGCTGCTCGGTTTCTACTGTTCGGGATGCTACACACGCTCTCCTCTTGTATTCTGGGCAAGCAGGGTAGCCCTGCTTTGCAGATGATGTTCCTCTGTTTCCAACAGCAGGTTATCAACTGCTCGAAAGAAAAACATGTGAATTTCCCCTAATCCTCCCTCCCAAAACATAGCAGCAGCAGCAGCAGCATGGTAAGCAAGGCTATTGCTGTTAATGGCCCTGGGCAAATAAAAAACATAGCTAGCCCAAGACACTCAAATGCCAGAGGTGAATTAAGCTAAACCACAACTCCCCCCCCCCTGCCAATCATTAATGAAGGCCACAATCCATCAAAAGTTCATGTGATCAGAAATAATGTTCTCCATTCATTTCAGCAGTGCTCACACAGCCTCAGGAAAATTTTCCCACAGGATTCTATGAATTAGATGTGACCTTACTCTTACTCTATCACTATTAATGTGGCTTCCAAAAGTCCTACCTGGAGGGCCCATCTTCCCTTGGTCCAGGTAAGGCTGCCATTACTTTCACCTGACAGTGTCCTCCAGGTGCTTTGAACTATAACCCTCACAACCTTTTACTATTGGCCCAAACTTCTAGCGAGCTCCAGGTTGCTTGCCCTGCTGGAAAGAGCATGTGTGAGATTTTAAGAGTCTGAAGTTCATCAGCCAACCATGGCTCTTGGCCCAGCAGCATTATTAACAACAGATCCAGGAGCATGAAGTAGTCATAATAAGAGCCTTTGGCACAGACTTCCTTGGGGACAGAGGTAGGCTGACCTGTAATAAATGTCTAGCTCTGATCCACAGTCCTATGAAGTCAAATTACTTGGGGTTCTTCCAGATGGAGGATTCTTTAACAGATTTTTTTTACTGAAAGAGAGAGAGAGAGAGAGAGAGAGAGAGAAGCAGGTGGAAAAGCACAAATGGGTTGCAAAAACCAAGTGACTTTGTGGCTTGAACCTTTTGAAAAATGCTATGAGTGAGCTGGGACATTGGCACAATAAAAGTCTTGCCTGGAATCCACCCAGGATTCAACACCAATGTGGAGCTGTCTCAGCCTCCTGGCTCAAAGCCCAGCCTTTGGCTGGAAAGGCCAGAGCTAAAGAAAGGGTAGGACACTGTAAAAGAGAAGGGAAAGGAACCTCTCAAAGAAGCTTGGGCTTAGTCAAACTGGTAGCCTGAATAGACAAATAATGGCCATCCATTGAATAATCTGGAGCCAAGAGTTTCTACACTTTTTGCAGACTCATCCATGCAAGAGCCCTGACCCAGAGAAATTATACACATCAATCAGCAGCATTTGGACTTTTTAAAAGTTGCAATAAATGCTCTCTTACGCCTTTAAATCAGCCTTCCCCATGGACAACTCACACTAGCCCAGGCACCATCCCAACACAGCTGGAGGACAACAGCTTATGGGAAGCTGGTTTAGATTCTGCTGATTCGCACCAGCCCGTGCCCCTCCTGTTATACTCACAGATGGACTAGCTGCACATAGAATGGCTAGTATACAAATAAATAATCCACAGTAATGGTGAAGGCAGCCCGGCATATGCAAATCAGCCTATTTCGGGATTCCCACACGAAATCCATCTGAGGAAACTATAAAGTAACGGAAACGCGAAGCATGGATGGGGCGGGGGAAGCAGTGCTCTTTCAAGTCCATCTGTAAGGTCCCTACAAGAATCCAAACGAATTCTGGTGGAAACCTTTCGGTTTTGCTGCACGGGAGACCACGCGAACCCAAAGGGCGCGTGGCAGCGTGAGCAGACCCTCACGCGTACAGAAGGCGATACTCCACGAAGAGCCCAGTGCGTTCCACCCAGCCCGGTATCCCACGAAACAGGAGCTGAAGAACCGCGAGGCAGATCTACCAACCCTTACAACCTATCGCGCGGGGAAAGTCGCCGCAGTATAAATGGGCGGTCAACGAAACAGCCCTGCCCGCGAAAACACGACCAAGTAAACACACGCGAGCAGCGGAGGCATCGCCTCTCCGTCGGCAGCCAAACACGCCCGCAGAGGCCGGAGTCCCTGCAGCAATTTGCCGCCCGGAGTGGATTCAGCGCACCCTCCTGAAAGCGTCTGCAGAAAAATCAATCCCTTTAGTCCAGTTGGCGTTTTGGCGCAGCGACGGGCAGAGCTTTGGAGTCTCGAGTGGGTTTCTAGTCTCTTTCCCACTGCGGGAGTAAAGCGAGCACGCGTGGACGGGCAAAGCCGGAGGAGGAAAGCCAAACCACCAAGAGACTGAACGCATCACAGCAGATGCTCTGCAGCAAACCCCGATCATCCGAGAGAACGAGGCAGCTGCCTGCGCAGCCAGAAGGGACGGGGGGAGAGAGGGAGGGAGGAAGGGAGAGGCAGAGGCGCTTCGCGTTACCTTACCTTGCGGAGCAACCGAGGGTCCCTGGAGGCGATCGGCGCAAACGCGGGAGGTGCAGCAGTCGGTCCGGTTCCGTTTTCCGCCCAGCTTGGGTTTCTGCAGCGTGTCAGCAACCCCATTCGTTGGCGAGGCCGATGCCTTTTGTTTTTCTGGCGTAGTGTGGACGCGACTCCAAGTAGCGCGCGGAGGAAAGCCTGCCCGCCCCCCCCCCAGCGGGGCTTGCAAGCTGGGAGAACCCCGCCTCGGTCAAGCGCTTTCTACCTAAAGTCCGTCCGCGGACAGGCTAGCGGGGTGGAGAGCGAAGGAGGCAGTCGGGAAGGCTAATTATGGCAAGTGGGAAGCGGCTCGTGGGCGCGCGTACGTGTGTGTGTGTGTGTGTGTTCGCTCACGAGGCAAGCTAGCGCTGGGGTTCGCGTAAGCAGAGTATACGCTTGAGCGCTGCAGGAGAAGAGAGGAAAGCTTGGCTTCGCAGCCCCAGCAGGCAGATAGAAGCCACGAAGGAGTAGAACTGGTACAAGTAATAACGTCCGGGTGTGAATCCTTAGAAAGGCCAGGGCAGTTCTGGATCACGTGAATAAAGCATAAAATATTTCTCTGTGAGCATGTGCAGAGCTCCTCGCTCTTTGTCCGGCCGGTAGCCGGGTGTTGATTTTTTAAAAAAATATTTCAGAAATTCTAAGGCCCCTGATCAGAGCGCTTCAATGAAAAGTGACTTTCCATTATGAAGGGAGCCAGATTTTGATTTTGTTCCAAATGAGCTTAATATGTACTGGGCCTTTTCCTGACCAAGCACACATCTTCCTTCTGTTACTGCTGTTTCAGGAAGTGTTGGCTCAAAGTATTTGGATTTGGAAATGCTGCTCAACTTAGTTCTGAGCATCCTGACTGCCTTGGGGGCTAAAAGGCCAACGGTGCTCCTCCTGACAAAACTCTTTTAATTTATGTACTCATTGGTGTGTATATAGAAGTTGAGCTACAATAAACACAGGCCAATGGCTGGGCTGGAAACAGCTTTGGTGTTTGTTTACAGAAGTGAAAATAAAATTGGTGGCTAACCCAGAGTTCCAGCTGTCAGGACTGGCTGGAGGATCTCATCAGCATGTTTCATGTTTTTCTTTTTTTTATTATAATTCAAAGAGAAAAGGAAAAGGAATAAAACTGATCCACATTTTAAAATAATATAAAGAACATAGCATTGCTTTAAATAAATAAGGAAGACCTCTATTTTGAATTCATAGACACATACTTGATACTTGTAGTAAATGCTTGCAGAATACTGTAGGACTGCTGTGAAAGTGGGGGATGCTGTGAAGATTGAGCCTGTCAATCCTCTCTTTCTATGGTGTTTTAAAATTTCTCTAAACAATTTACCTTTGGAGATGCAAAGAAAGCTGTGTAGGCAGCATTCTTTAATGCTGTCAGCCAAAGAAAATGTGGCATTAAGCCTGGGATTGTTCCTTGCACGCTTGTTATTGGTTACTAAAAACACCATTGTTGATCTCATGATTGTAAACTTTGGGGGGGCACTTCTATTGGAATGCGTTTTCGCTTCACGTGGTCTGAAGTTCTGGGAGGTTGACCCTTTCAGTCTGTGTCCTGCCAAGGATGATATTGAGGTCAGAGCTCATCCAGTTTTCTCAGCACTAATGGAAGATAAATAATGCAATAATGGTTTGTTAATGTAACAAAGCTGCCTTAAAAAAAAAGACTCTATAATGGCAAATCCAAAACAACAAATAGGTCAGATTAAAAGAAGTTGCCAGATGTTTTATCCCCAAACAGGCTGGCATACTGTGCTCCAGATTCAGAGCTTGGACAGTCTATGTTTGAATCAGGTCCATATTGGCTATCCATCCAAGGAATGTGAAATGGCTACTTTTCTAAAAGTATGTGCCAAATATCACTCTGTATTATTTTACAGTTTTAAAAGATGCTGGGCAGGGTACAACCTCAAAAGAAGAATAAGTCACTGTATATCATATATAAGTAATAAAAATCAACAATAGAAACACAATACATTATAGATATCATTCAGTTAAACTAAATGCTTGTTGGAATCACACTGCTTTGGGTAGTAACTGAAATCATACACAGTTCCAATAGAAGAGAATATCTGTAGCTCAGGGTTGAACTGTGGAGTTCTTGGTGCTCTCTGAGTTTGGTAGTCTCCTTGCAGACGTTGAGCACTGATGATGTTACCTAGTTGGATAGTGAAATGTCTACAAGGAAACTACCAAGCTCAGCACCAAGAACTCCACCATATACAGTGCCCGTATTTATGTATTTCTACTTTAAAAATTCTGAAGGAGTTAACTATAGAAGTATGAAACCAATGAATAAAAACAAATTACAACTGAATATATTCATGTAACTCATTATGCCATAAACCAACCACTTATGGCTTAGCGTGACATGTGAATGAGTATAACTCTCTTAGATTAATTATTGGAACTGGGTCCCCCTCCAAAACAAGAAAATTTATGCAAGCATCTTATGATAGACAATAGTAATTGCTACTTAAATATGATATGGAGACAGAACAAATAAGTTGTATGATAAAATGGATGCAAAATTTCAAAGAAGCAGTAACAATGGATTAATAGGAAGACTTATGGAAAAAAATCAAATGTATACCAAGCTACAATTTAAGGGAAAATTGGTACAAAATGATCTAAAGGTGATATATAACTCCATCAACAATTACCAAAACGGATAAATCATATAGCAAATGGAATCATATATTTCAAATGTTGGAAATGCAGTAACAAAGAAAGAACATTTTATCATATGTGGTAGTTATGTAAACCCCCTCCTCCCCAAAGTACTGGAAAGAAATACACCAAAGTATCCCAAAAGTTCTGAAAATAAAATTTGAATTAAAACCATAAATATTTGTATTAAGTATGGACCCAGAGAGCCTAAATGATAAGCATCTTAATTTATTAAGATATATGGTGACAGTGGCAAGAATCAATCTGATACATTAGAAAAGAGAAACCTTGCCATCAATGCAGGATTGGGAGAGTAAAATTGAAGAATATGTGGCAATGGAAAAACAGACATTCACAGCAGAAGTCTAACCAAATTCAAGCAGGAATGGTTCCCTTATATACAACATATCATACGGCAAGACAACCTGAGACACAGAATATGGTTTTTGAAGAAAAAGATACTGTTTTTAATAATAAAAATGATTCAAACACACGCACACACAGAGGTCAGTACTGACCCTGGGGACTGCATGGAACAGTCCCTGTGATTTTCTTTTGGGAGTGGTTTGCCCTTGCCTTCTTCCCAGGGCTGACAGAGAGGGACTGGCCCAAGGTCACCCAGCTGGCTTCATGCCCAAGGCAGGACTAGAACTCAGGGTCTCCCAGATTCTAGCCCAGTGCCTTGAACCACTATATGTTTCTTTCTGGTCTGTTTTGCTTTTTTGAACCAATAAAAAAGGTTAAAAAAAAAGACCAAACAATTTCAATAGATTTTTAGATTACATCCTTTTAAGCAAACAGTATTTCAGAAATGACCATATTGCATTTACAGTATGTTGTTAGAGATGCAGTAAACCTAACACTTTATTTAGATATATTGTTCCATTTCAGTAAGAAGCAATTACATGTATAATTCAACCTGAGGTTTATTTCAATCACCTGGGAAAATTAACACATAATCAAAAGACTTATTGTTCAGCATTGGAAACACAAACACATGGCTCCAACTATTTAATGGTTTGCAGAATTGATTAATATAGATCAGCCATGGATGACTGTAATGAGTCAATTTATCTGTATATGTGTGTCTGCAAATATACATTTTGTATGTTTCCTTTCATTTTTTCTTCTTTTATAATTGTACTCTTTTCCTTTGCTTTTTGTATTTAGTTAATTAGAAAAAAGACAATAGTAAGTTCTCAGCCATCTTCAAAGTGTGCCTTAAAACTGATAAGAGGATGTATAATGCAGTTTTTCTACCTGATTAATATATTTTCAGCTTATGGGTATATAAACCTAGTTCATTCACAGTATCTATATATTTTGTGAAGTAGGTGGGAAAAGTGCTAATGAAAGTTTATACCACAAAAGATCACAGTACATCTTGTACCCTCTAAAGTATCTCCATACAGATATTTTACATTTATCACAATTTTGCTCTTTACAAAACCCAAGAACTTTCACTTTTGTCAAATAAAGTGAAGTTCAGCTGGAGAAGCATTAGCAATGCACATCAGCTGGGAAGGTCATGACTGGAGCCAGGAAAACAAGAAAGCAAATGGGAGAACCTTGAGAAGGTTTGGCAGATAGGTAGGAGTTAAGGCAAAGAGCAGGCAAGGCTTCAATTGACTAGATTGCTGTTGTCATAAACCAAACTTAATTAAATCACCTTGTAATGTATAAATCCAGCCAGTTGTGATTTATTCAATAAAAAATGGCTAGACAGATTATGTCTTAGATTGATGCATGAACCTGGTCAAAATGCTGCAATAGGTTATGCTCCTGCTAAGGGCTTCTTCGAATCCCTGCTCTTTCCCAGGATACTTGATTCAATTTGCTCTTTTTCCTAATCATTTTCTAATAGCTTGCAAACCTTGATTTGGCAAAGGTTCTGATTCTTCTGTGTACGGATGGTGATATTCTGGCAATACTGTAGAAGGAGCCTCACTCAAAGAATGATTTCACTGTTACAATAAACTTGCTTCTTATTAATGCAGAAGCATGCCTTACAAGTTTGAAGCAATGAATCAGTGAGGGATTTTTCACTCATTGCTCTAGCGTATATGAAACCATATATGCTATGCTTAACTATACACTGTAGTTTGTAAACCATGGTTTATGCCTCCATGTGTTGTGCAAATGCAGCTATACTTTATTTGGTAAAATATAATTAAAGTTTTGCACGATATGTGAACCAGGTCATTGCTTGCCTGCAGGCTTATAATTTGATAGTCATTATTTTAACAAAACCCATGAGAAGGGTCAGAAAGAGAACAGGAAAATCAGCCAATTGAGTATCAAGTGACAATGGTACATGTACATTTCCCAGAAGCAGCAAAGGAAGCTGAAATGCACTATATTTCTACAAAAATGTGTTTCAGTCTTATAGATCTGCCCTCCAGTCCCCAGCCTCATGCCCTGCAGATAATTTTCCAAATACCACATTGGACTTTTGGTCCAAGATTCAAAGGTGCATG